ACCCAAATCTCCCCTGACTCAGCTTGAGGCCATTTCCTCTTGTCCTGTCGCTGGTTGCCTGGGAGAAGAGACCAAGCCCCACTTAGCTACAAGCTCCTTTCAGGGAGTTGTAGAGAGTGATAAGGTAACTCCCGAGTCTCTTTTTCTCCAGCCTGAACAATCTCAGCTCCCTCAGCTACTCCTCATATGACTTACACTTTAGACCTTCTCCAGCTTCATTACTATTCTCTGGATTCACTCCAGCACCACATGACTTGGTTGAAGTGAAGGGTCCAAAACTGGACACAGCACTCAAGGTGTGGCCTCAGCACGCTGAGCTGAGGGGGACAGTCACTGTACTGCTGGCCATACTGTTGCTGATACCAGCCAGGATGCCTTTGGCCTTCTTGGCCTCCTGGGTACAACACATTCTGTTCTCGCTGTTGACCAGCACCCCCAGGTTCTTTTCCAAGGCAGCTTCCCAGTGACTCCTTCTCCAGCATGTTGCACTGCATGGGGTTATTGTAGCCAAAGTGCAAGGTTTGTCCCTTAGCGTTGTGAATCTTGTACCATTGGCCTCAGTCCATCAGTCCAGGCTGTCCAGATCCATCTATAGAGCTTTCCTACCCTCCAGCAGATCAACGCTGCCAGACAATTTGGTGTTGTACTTTCTGAGGGTGGACTCAGTCCTCTTGTCCAGATAATATTGAACAGGACTGACCCCAATGCTAAGACCTGGGGAACACCACTGGTGGCCAACAGCCAGCTGGATACAGCACCATTCACCACCATTCTCTGGGCTCAACCATCCAGCCAGTTCTTAACCCAGACAAGAGTTCACCTGTCCAAGCCATGGGCTGCCAGTTTTTCAAGGAGAATGTAGTCACAGACAGTTTGAAGACTTTGCTGTGTCCGTGTAGACAGCATCCATAGCTTTTCCTTTATCCACCAGGTAAGTGACCTGGTAAAAAAAGGAGATCAGGTTGGTCAGGCAGGACCTGCCTTTCCTAAGCCCTTGCTGCTGATCCCCTGGTTGTTCTGCAGGTGCCAAGTGATTGCACTCAGGTGGTCTGCTCCCTAACCCTGCTGGACACAGAGGTCAGGCTAACAGGCTGGTAGTTCCTCAGATCTTTCCAGCCCTTCTTGGAGATGTACATCACACTGGTCAACCTGCAGTCATCCATGACCTCCCCAGTTAACCAGGACAGATGATAAATGATGGGCAGTGTCTTGCAAGGCTTTTCTACCAGTTCCCTCTGTACCCTTGGACAAAACCTATCTGATCCCATAGACTTATGAATGCCTAAATTGCTCAGCAATTTCTAACTACTTTCTCTTGGATTACAAGGGGTCTATTCTGCTTCCTGTCTATTCTCTCCCTGTCAGGGGCCTGGTTTCCCTAAGAATAACTGTCTGACTGTTAAAGTTGGAGGAAAAGAAGGCATTAAGGACTTCAGCCTCTATCTTGTCCTTGCTGACATGGTCCCCCTCTGTGTTCAATAAAGCATGGAGATTTTCTTTGTCTCTCCTTTAGTTGTTGATGTATTATAAAAATAGTTTTTAAACATCTTTCACACCAGTGATTGACCAGATTGAATTCTAATTGAACTTTTTCCTTTCTAATTTTTTCTCTACATGACCTAATGACACCTTGTAGTCTTCTTGAGTTGCCTGCCACTTCTTCCAAAGGTCATGAATTCTCCTTTATTCCCCAGAGTTCCTCCAAAAGCAAAGCCATGCTAAGTGACAGATTTAGCTCTTGGCTAATTATGTGTACTGAATGCTTAATTTATACTGTATTAATTTCCAGCACTGTAAAATCAACATGCTTAATCTGAAAAAAAGGGTTTGCAGGGAAAATTAGGATGGTTTTATGTGATGTCTAGACACAAGAACTGCCATATCAGAAGAAAAGTCCACTTAGCTCATTATCTTTTCCCTGACAGTAGTGTGTAGGGGATTTTCAGAGGGAAGTGCATACAAAATTAAAAGCGTACATGAATTGTTCCCTAGAATTGTTCTTATTTCCAAAAAGAAGCCATAGAAAATTTTCCTTTATTCTAGCTGGATACTGTAAGCGTATTGATGTAACAAGAGAAATGCAACTATGCCCTTTTAACTTATTTAAACCATTATGAACTTACTCAGGATGTTTACTTCCACAATCCTTTATGGCCAAAAATCCCACTACTTAATTGATTATAACATGCTCATCATATGCCCTTGTGAACGTGTGTCTGATGGTTTCTTTGCATATATCCTGTGCTTCCAGTGTTTCTGAGAGAGAGCACATGGTATTTTCCTGCAGATCTGCTACGTCCATATTATTCACACATAAGGGTATACTCTCTCATGTATTTTCCAAGTAGAAAATTAATATTTTATGTAGTGTCTCCTTTCAAGCAAATTTGTCTCCTGCCCATCTTATTCTGTATTTAGAACAGGCAGAGTAATATGTATTACATGAAGGTTTCCCACTGTAAAAATGCTGCTGTAAAGGATGTCATGATGATATTTTCTAACTTTCACCTCCCTAAAAAATTGCTGCCATAGTGTAAAGCATTGCAGAAAAGTGATTTGGGCCTCACAGGATTCTGCATTTTCACTGTGAGTCTGAAAACCTGATCCTTTGCAACTCTGCAGAAAATAATTAGCTATGCAATGTGCTGTAAAAACAAAAATCAAATTTACACCAATTATATTTATAATGCAAACACACTACCTTTAAGTTTTATCACTTCTAAATTTTCCTAAGCAGTTAAGTCTTCTATTGCATTATTTTATTACTTTGGTCAGAGAAGTAAAATCTGCACAGCTAATGGTGATCAACCCCTGCTCCTAGAAGGAGGCAACATTTTGTAACCTAAAAGAACTTATGGATCATCATCCAGATAAATACAGATACTTGAAGCTGAAAACTTTGGGCAGACTGTGAACAAACCACAGAAGAACAAAAAATCACAAAGAAGAGGATAGAAAGGACAATCAGAACAGCACACTTTGCACCTTTCAGAAGTAAGGAACTCCATTGAAATTCAGCATTCACACAAGTGTTCTCATGTTAGCCTTCAGGTGTCTTTAGCAATCAAGGGGATCCAGAATGGAACCAAAGCATTCTACAGTTTCTGCTGGAAGAGGAGGAAGAAATACCAGCAGTAGAAAGATTACTGTTAACCAAAATATCTGCTCACAACAGAGTTACCTTGGATGCGTCTAGATGGACTGCAGAGAATGCAGTATAGATTTACCTATTACAGGTGCTCTGAATACTTAGTGTAAAACATTAAGTGTGGTACATGAATACAAAAAATGTAGCCCTATGACTAAGCAGTCTAAATGTCCCAGAATCAGGGACTCCAGTAAACTGGAGTTCCATGTATCAATTTAGGTGGAGCAGGTAACCTTGCTGCATTGGTGAATTTCCAATGAATTAAGGAGGAACAGGCTATATCTGTCAATAGAGAGGAACAATATATTTTTGCTGCTTGTAGACTTAATGATCTGATTATTTTAAAATCATTCCTCCCTGCTGTTTCTTGGATTCTCTCATTCCCAGTATTTTACCTCTGGAAATACAGGCATTGTGTTTGAGAAAGGGTAAGGTATGAATGAGCCACACTGCTGGCTTGCTCTCCGTAATGTGACATATGCGTCAACTGTCTCAGCATAGTTGCCTAGTTCTACAAAGATATGTTGATTTTTGCTAAAGAAAATAAGAAAACAATTTTCAGGGGAAGTAAACACTCTGGATGGAAAGGTATTAGTTATTATTTCAGACTGTACACTTCACAATTGCTTTTTAGGATGACATCTGAACCTTAAGTGAAAAAGGTTATTCAAAGAATTATTAACCCCCCCCCCCCACTCCCATTTCAACATAATTTAAAAAAATTTTTATAAATAGAGTTCATAGAATTTAAAGCAAAGTAATCAGGAAGTTTATGCTTATTTTTCTCCAGAGAAACAAAAAAACAGAACAAAGTATATAACAGACTCTATTTTCTAAGTAATTTCTTTTCCAATGCCGGTATAGCGTTATCAGTATTAATCACATAGATGACTGCAAGATGGAAGACTCCCAGATAAATCTTCTAAGACAACCGCATTTTCAGAAATATTTTGTTCATCCTGGCCAATGATGAAAAAAAGCTATTTACTTGTACAAAATATATTCTGTAGTAAAATCAATGACACTTAGTTTTAGCATCTCATTGCAAGGCAGTGTCCAACACTGCAATACTAACAATATTTCTCTTAAAAGAAACTGTCATGAAAAGGAACAGCACAGCTCTTTTCTTTCAGAAACCTATTTAAAAACTAGGTTTTGTAAAGTTATTTTTGAAACTGTAACATTCACCAAGCACCTTAGCTTCTTAATAGCTTGTCTGCTTCTGGCGTAAAAACACATCTTTTTGAAATAAAGTGATTCTTTTGTTCTCAAACTCTGAAACTATAAATATTAGCTGGAAAACCCCCTGTAACTCCCAACAAACAAACGAAAAACAAGCAAACAGACATTCTGAGAAAAAACTATAGAAAAGTGCATAGATTAATTCTGACACAGTCCTTATGCAGTTTTGTTAGAGAGTATATAGAGACAAAGTGCAGATCCAATGATATACGATTTTGACACAGTACATACTTTTTTTGGAGTGTTTTTGCATGATTGTCCCCATGGGTAGAATTCACGGGACGTGTATACATGGGAGTTTTGATTCCCTGTCAGCTAACTAAGCACCTGAAAGCCAGGTATTGTTTCACCTACCTCCTCTGCTAGGGACAGATTCAGATGACCACATTCCAAATGACACTGACTCTAGAGCAGTGATGGGATTTCCCTGACTTGGTGGGATGATGTGTGCCAGAAAATATTGCTTAGCTATCAAAGCAAGCACAAATAATTGGTAAAATTGAGACAGCTGCTGGTATTTAAAGCACTGATTCTTTCATGTGTTGCATTGTGAAACAATGAAAACTGAACACTATTTAAATTAATAAAAAAATGCACAACAGACACCATATCACTAAGAAAGCCAGTAACTTTACTGATTTGTCTGCAAAATACAAATTATACCTTATTTTCAGCAGGAGAATCTTTTGAAATTTTCCCATTTTTGTTCACTACAGACAGCTGAATTAAGTCCCTTGAGATACACAGATGTGGTTTAACTTAGTTATAACATCTTGTCATCTAGTGGCGACAAAGTCCAGCTTATGCCGCTGTGAGCCTCTACTTTAATATTTGTTGCAAATGCTTGTATGCTCCCATTTACAAGCTATTTTGTTATCACCATTATTTTATGGAAGCAAATCCCCATGAAAGAGAAGAAAAAAAAGAAAAAAAGGATACAACAAACCATCTGAAGCAATCCAAGTGTAATGCCTGCAGTAACCCAGGTCTGATATTAAATACACAGAAGACTTTAGTACTGCATTTTTAATTGAATTTTTTTAAATGACTTTCTTAAATTACTCAATGTCTTAAAATTACTTTCTTTCTTTTTTTTTTTTTTTTTTTTAATCAAATAGAGGTATGGATCAGTCTGAGGTATGAGAAGGGAAGGTAGAAATGCAACGTGAGACTACGAAAATAATCAAATGGCTACTTTTGATGCAGAAAGTCTGTGGCTCAAAGCTTGGATTGCTCCACATCTTTGGTTAAAATATTTAACAAAAGCCTTTTATTACATCTACAGTCTGAAGCATTCTAACAGACAGCAGTGTTCCATCAGTCCTTCAAGAGACCTGTAGTGGCAGGAAATTAATGCCGTATAACTGACAACATCACAGCAGATGGCACAAACAGGAACAGATGAAGTATGCCATGTTTAGGCAACAGCCTTTATTGAGGTTTCATGTGGCTTTTAAAAAATTACAAAGCATTTACCTTCAAGGTGAAGGAAGAAGGAAAACAAACAGCTGTTAGACTACAGATAAAAGTGGGTATATAGGATTGCAAATACAATGCAAAAGGGTTGACATCCTTGAAAACAGCCTATGAGTTCTATTCTTATACTAGCTTTACCTGAAAAAGATCTGAGGACAACAGGTAATTTTTACACTAGTCATTAAAAATTGCTAAATTCCTCTTCTGGGAAAAATATAAGCCATTTTGTTATAAAACACAATTTTTGAGAGACACTGAAATGAACAAAGCTTTACTGTGAATGGCTCAATGCATACAATATATATGTTGTGCAGATAGAGTATATCATATAATTGTCACCAGCAATTAAACACTAACTGACAACACCTTTTAATAGAGATTAAACAATATAGCTATAACAATACTTGCAGTTGTCTAGAATGCCACTTCAGGTGTTTGAACTTACAATTAAGAATGTTGCCTAAAACATCATATAGCATGGGTTAAGGTAAAGTAAATGTTAATACTCTTTCAGGGCTCTGCCCCAAGCTCCTTAAATACAAAGGAATCACACAATAAACCCAAATTAGCTTTTGCAAATACAATAAATGGTAAGATACAGATAAAGGAACAAGAAAGGTAGACAGTTATAGTTTACAGAAAGTGACTTCACAATCAAAGTTGTGCTTCTTATCATTAGATCAGTTTGCAAATATGCATTATCCCCCACAATTTTGCCAGTATAAGTTAGTTGCCTTCTGCAGCAGGAACAAGAGGGCTAACTGGCATTTATTTCCATGTGATTCAGTTCTACTTGTGTTTATACAAAAAATCACTGTCAGAGTTAATAAAAATTGCCCAGGCAATACTTTTCATGCTACTTTTTGCTTAGTTACTTGCAGTAATATACACTGCATCTTCATTAAATGATTCATTTTTTTCATGTGTTGCTGAGGCAAATCGCAAGGTAAACTATTAATATGGCTATTCTTAATATATCAATAGACCAAATCCCCTTCCCCACTGAGAAGTTTCTACTGCTATACCAATAAAATTGTATTTTTTCTTGAAATGACAAGGTATATTTGTGACACATTTGCATATTTTTGACACACTAAAGTTTAAAATTCTCAAAAGAGAACATGAGTACAGGTTAATCTGAGGGTGAGGAAAATGGTTTTTGTATTGTAAAATTAATTATGGGCCCCATTTTACCTTTTTTTTTTTTTTTTTTTTTTTTTTTTTTTTTTTTTTTTTTTTTTTTGTCTTGTTTTGTTTTGTTTTGGGTTTTTAAATTTATTTTTTGGGTTTTTTAAAACATGCGTATCTTTGTTTACCCTGCAGTTTGCTACACGAGGTAAGATGAATGCATTAGTAGCACAGTATTCTGCTTAAAGAGTTTCCACATTATGTACTAGCCCCTGCATGGCTGAAAATGCCTGTAAAGCAGGCTTCTGTAAAGTCATGGTAAATGAAGAGTCTATGTCCTAATGCACACTGTAGTCTGATCATCATTCTCTACTACAGAGAGGTATACTCCATCATTGAGCAGTGCACAGCAACTGCATGGATAGGTGGAAAAAGAGTGTGGATTTCACTTCAAAGTTCTTTGCTGTTGCTGCTGTATTTTTCATCATAATGTCAATGTAAGTAGTTGAGACCTAGAAGGACTCTTAAAAAAGGAGAAATATTACTCTTTTACTATGACACTAACATTTTGCTTAAACACTTTTTCCCTCCAACAGAAAGATGAAACTGAAACACTTGAATATACATTTTTTTTCTAACAGACAAGAGGGACAAAGAGGGACTTGAAGAAAATGACACATTCCCTCTGGTCAAGCTATCTTAGTCAAAGGAACAATATGAGGCTGGAGAAAATGTGGATGCTGTGTTCTGAAGCAAGTGCTAGTCTGGTGTAAACACACAGGGAGCGTTGCTCAACAACATGCCCACTGTGAGATGATATGACTGCAGAGGTCCATGAGAACCAACCAGCTGGCCAATATTGCCTGTGTAAAATCAACTGATTTTGAACCACCCTTTAACTGATAATCTCTTTAAGAGTTATATGTCTGTGAAAGAGGGGAGGAATCTATCCAGCAGGCACTTTCGTGCTGATCCCTCCCTTTGCCTCCCCCTGCTGCTTCGTCACATGTTTACCTGCACTCACATAGCTTACAGCCATTAGAGCTGCACATTCAATTCAGACAGGCAGAATACCAGCTTCATTAATAAGAATGGGCCAAGTTACGCCACTTTGTAATTTAGCCCATGGAAAACTACAAGATACGCAGGACATTATGTAATAGAAGGGCCCTTAACTTGTTACAATGCACAAAACAGCATGAAAGAACTAATCAGTATATACAACGGATGGCAGTTCACCCAGCTGATTGTAAAATACTGTATTAAAATGAGTTAAGTTGTAACACTATGGGTAAAGTCTAATTATTTACAGATCAGTCTTTCAGCAGCTGACTTGGACCTGTAAAATGTATACCCACTAAAAGAAAACCAAAAGAAAATAGTTAAATGTGCAACTGCACAAATATAATTCCCCACTATCAAGAGAACAAAAACTATTACCATAATTATTATATATTAGAAAGCTATACACAAGCATGTTAATTTCACAGATTTTTTTTTAAAGATTCTTAGTATTTTATATAATTAGAAATACACATTTCAAAAACAAAACTTCTGCAAAGAGAAAACAGTTATCTTGATTAGCAAAGCATGGAGTTGCTCAAGGCTTAGGGTAGTGCTTTCTATACAGAAAGTAATTTTGTTTGTTTCTTCAGGACTGCTTAAAAGATTAGCAAAGCTATCAAGGGAAAAAGAACAAATTTTGGCTTAAGGAAACTACAAAAGCCACAAATGCTTTGCAAACTCTGTCTTACTTTTTAATATGAAAATAAGCTAAATGTAATGTACATATTTTTATACTTTTTTATTTAATAAGTGATGCAGACCCAGAATTTTTGAAATTAAGTATGTCAGCCCTCGAACTCAACATTTCTATAAGTATGGTACTCTTGAAATGGTTTGATCCTTTTTAACTGAGCACCATACTCTAACAAAATGCCTGCATGTTTGTGAGCATTTTCAGTATGTTAGGTGATTCAGTCTCTTTCTAGCATCAATTCATGGCCACCTAACTGCTGGATCTGTCAAAACATCTGTACATTTTCTATATGTTGCATAACAGCTGCTTTCTCTCTCAGTAAAGATCTGCCATTTCTGGCAAATGTTTTCATTTTGTCTATTTACATGTAAATAACGTTGAACCTGCAACATGACACTATCTATTGTAACATACATTTTGCAAGGGAGCACAACAGTGAAAAGAAATTAGCCTTAAAATCTATTTTGTACAAGTGTTCTGTTGTACAACTCAAGTGCTAAGCTTATCTCAGCATTTCTGTTTATCCTTATACTGCATCACTGAGGCAAGTTAAAAGTACTTTTACAAAACAGAGTACCTGACTTTTTTTTTCACACACAGCACATATAATGTATATCGACCCTTCCCCCCTCCCCCCTCCCATTAAAGTATAGCACACACACACTGCAAGAAAAAAAATCTCAACTAATAGGTTATAATGTTATCATGTTGCCCATCCTTCAGAGAGCCGCATGCGCTTGACAGAGGGGCTTTCCCTTTCGTCCGGCGAAGGTCTGGTGAGTCCAATGGGGGAGTGGAATTCATTCCGGTGATCTTCTCGGTCACTTCCATCGTAGGAACTGCTACAGCTGCTCAAACTGTCAACAGGAGATCTCCCCGCCTCATGGCGCGTGTGCTGTTGGTATCTCGATGGTGTGGTGGTACGATCTCTAGGAGGAGAAACAGGTTCTGACTTGATGTTGAGGCTTTGAGTAGAAGGCAGGGAGAGATTTGTACTCTGAGATAAATGAGTGCTAGTGCAAGCTCTGTAGGAGGAAAGGAAACTCAGTTACAGATGGAGGAGGCATGGAGCCCCCAGATATGCACAAACACCCACATGAAACACCACTGTAAAGGCTCACACAGGATCAGCACATGCAGAGATCATGGGGACTGTTGTCTGAGCAGAATTCATGAATTCCAGGAGATGACAGCACCACAACAGATGTGGTCAGCTTTAGGGGGACAAGCCCTCAGTTTAGAGAGAAGTCTCACTTTCAGTCTCCTTCTCTCCTTTCTTAAGATCAAGCGTCATCACAAATTTAGGAAGGTGAGCCTTTGCATTGTTGGAACCACCTTCAGGTTTCTGAATAACAAATACTTGTGTGTGTATACATTGGCTGAGATGGGAAGCCTGGACTTTCTGCTGGGTTTAATCCAATTAATTTGAAAGCACACAACTATTTTTATTGTGGTTTGTTTTGACATGTGACTTCAGATGCAAAACAGAAACAAAGAAAATCTGGTCTGGTAATTTTTATGCTTTTCAAAATTGAATTGAAATTAGTAGTCCTAACATTGACATCAACAAAATAGCACAGGTAGGCAAGGATTTAGATATGATTTTAGGGTTTAAATCCATAAATCCATGATTCAATCCAGAATGCATTTGGATAAACTACAAAAGGGACTATGAGGAATAGGAGAAGACAACAGAGGACTACACTATTTGCCCATAGGAAAGCCAAGCTCAAAGGATGCTACTAGCAGACAGACTGCTATTCTGAAACTTATTCAAAGGTAAGCTATTTAAGTAAGCTAAGCTTTTTCTTTTTTCTTTTCTTTTCTTTTCTTTTCTTTTCTTTTCTTTTCTTTTCTTTTCTTTTCTTTTCTTTTTCCTTCCTTTTTTGTGCATTTTTTGGGCAGGTAGTGGCAGAGGAAGATGAAACAGGCAGGGAGGAGAGTGAATACTGAGAACACACTTTATGGGAGAAATGAGATTACTTTCATCTGCACAACATTTTGTACAAAAGCACCACCTCCTGGCAAAACCTGACTTTTCATTATTAAAACAGAATTTCCAAAATGCAGTTCCCATTATGTTCCACTTCAGGGACCATTTGCTAAGCTGGAATTAGTGTCTTATGCAAGAAACTTTTCTAATTTCTTTTTTCTCATAAAATTTTTTTCTCTAAACTCTTTTTTTCTAATTTCAAGGCTTCTATTAATGCGTATTTATTTATACAGGGGTAGGAAGGCAGCAGGGGCAGCACTTGACTTCAGAAGATTTTAAACCTAAAGGGATATGCAGGCATTTTTAATGCAAGAAGGTGTAATATTGGGATTTGGAAGGAATTTCTAAGAATGACACAGGTAAGTTTAGTGTAGACTTTTAACTTTACTGGAATACTCTACTTCTACTTTCCCTAGGGTGTCACTAACTGAGAGCTGAGTATTATTTAAACAACATTTACTACTACTTTGATGAACTTTTTTTCTTCTGACAGATTTAAAATAAAACTGTATGGCTTCAATATCGAATAATATCCTCTGATTTTATCAGGAATTGCTGCAGTGTGTAAAAATGAATGGATCTTGTTAGAAAACAAAACAGCATGTTCTACTTCCAATTTTTTCATCAATCCTTCCTTCCTCTACAAACAAATTTGTCAAATCTGCAATGACCCCTTTCCTAAGTTACAGAGTTCATAAGTAATAGCCTTCAAAGTAAAAAATGTAACCTTTTTCTTTTTTCAAAGAGGATATTTTCTTTGTATTGCTTCTGTAAATATTAAATTAACACATATAAGAAACTGTAAATATAAGAATCAAATGTACATTTCTGCCTTTTTCTTTTTTTTTTTTTTCTTTTTGTTTTCAGTGACTATTTTTGTATTGCTTAGGAGATTCTAGGGCTTCATCTGAGTAAATAGTTTGTCAGTTTAGTATGATAAGATTACATGTGATGTTACATGCCAAGCTTATAGCTAAACCTGAAATTTCTATAATAAAGGATGGTGGAGCCTAGAGGATTGATTTAGAAGTGTTTGATTTGAGCAAGAGACATGCCACATTGCAAAGCTCGGGATAATTTAAAAAGATAAAAATAGACAAAAATAACCATATTCAGTCAAATTTGTTCTCATGGAACATACTGGCATTCTACTGTGTGACAGCATCCATCTAGAGGGATAAACTGAATTTCAATGATACAGAGCTGGTATTGCAATACTGGAATATTGCCTTTTTAATAATGCCTCAGAAGTGAGTATGAGAATGCATCTCTACAGACTTCTCTACAGATTCCTTGTGATTCAGCAGTGGTGTTACATAATAACCTGGCATAAAAATTAATGGCACTTTTATAAATGCTTCAGCTCTTCAGGTTTATTTGAATTTTGAACCACCTTTTTTTTTTTTTAATATTTATAAGAGGATAAGAAATAATTTTGGCAGGTCAAGACTGAATTTCTGAGGTTTAAAAAAATATTAAAACAATATAAATAAACTGTAGCGTGTATTTTGATTCACCTTTTTTTCTTTGCAAATACAGCCTTTGGCTGCTGAAAGTATTTCTGAAACTTAATATATTTTTATTTGACTATAATTTCCTTAATACTTCATTAACATTTTCTGAAACATTTTTATGAGAAGCTCGTCTAAGCTAAATCTGCATGGGAAATGTACTGTTACACATACATGTGAATAGCGAAATAATAGGTATTTAGATGCAATCTTTAAATCTGTATTCTAAACAAAGGATTAACCTCTATTTAGAATAGAAGGTACACAATAAGAAATGAGAATTCTGTCTGCTGCAAAATGATATAATTTCCTGTATAGGTATGTGTTGGTGTAGAAACAGCTGTTTGCACTTAAATGTATCAATGCATATTTTACACTGTTGCTTCATATAATTACATGAATTGCACACAAGCATGCCTATTGTAATTATGTGAAACCTTCACTAAATTCCCTGGTAAACAAACATGTTTTGGATATGGAAAAACTAGTGAGAAACTAAAGAAAATTATTCAAAGGTTTGTGTACATTTACATGCACTGAATAGGTGCTGGGCAGTCCACTTTTGCAGACATCATCACCTTTGTCCACATATTGTATGAAGACATTTCATTTTATGGGGATAATGAAGAAAATTAATATCTTAACTTGGCACACCAGTCCCTCTTGAGGCCAGTGTAGTTAAAATTTGATTTTTATTCAGATTATGATGCCACATGGAGAAATGCTGCTTTATCTGGTTTCCACATGGTACATCTACACAGCTCTGCTGTATGAGAAGTGGGGGAGCAAGACAGTGCCATGAGATTGGGATGATGACACTTCTGTGTGCATCTCCTTCTGTCTGATTCTCCAAATGGTATTGAAACTCAGCATGCACAGGTAGAAGTGCAGGTCTGAGTAAACGATGAGTGAGGACATGAATACTGACCATGTAGATTTTTCTAGAATGAGAAAAATCAGAAATGAGAAAATCTAGAATGAGAAAAAAAGAAGGAAGATAGCTTCATGCGCCTTTTCTTGTACACCCACTCTTACTTCCCTAAATCAGTGTACTTCCTCACTTCATATAATTTCCCCCAGTAAATACATGTGAAGGACCATTGAAAATTCATGGTTACATGCTAATTTGCATTTAGGAGAAGATATTTTTTACTTACTAACAATTAAACTTCTTCCCTCTCTATTTTTTTTTAAGTGCAAGCTAAGAGGTTTTAATTATTTTTTTATAGTTTTCTGATCAATGTAAAAGCAGAATATGAAGACATTTTGTCAAGACATTTTGCTTAGCTCTCACATGTTAAGGTTACACTTTTTAAACAGGAATTAAAAAAATAGCATGAAACTGAGTTACTTAAACATCTTATAATAGTGGCTTATGAAAAAAAGGCTCAATCTGAAATACATAAGGTCTTTTATTCAAAAGAAGGAAATTGGTAGAACTGATACAAATTCATTAAACATGATATACCTGTTTCCAAATTTTTCAGTAAAAATAGTTTAATGGACAATATTTTCCTTTGTCTAGCTATAGTTATCATCTAATAAAAAATAATTGTCGCTAAGTAGTAATCTTTCTATATAAGAACAAGTCAACATTATACATTAATTTGGACTACTTTTTATTCATGTAGGTAGAAGTTTTGAGAAACTTCTCTTACATAAATAATTATCTATACTGAAGCACCTTCAGATTAAATATTGTTTCTCTCCCTGCATTCATATTTTAGGAAAGTGAAAACTTCACCTGTGGATGTTACTTTTAGATGAAAAGATTGTCTCTTAGGCTAGGAAATGTGGATGCAAGAGAACACATTCCATACTATGGATTTGTGCATAAAATATTTTGATAATTTATTATGATGTTTGGAAAGGACTTCCCTTCTGGTTATCAGCAGTTTACTTCTAGTAGTCTTTTTGGTACATGTTAAAAAGCAGTAAGAGACTTTAATGTACTATTCAGGCGAAATCCCAAAGCTTTGGGAAGGACTGATTTTCAGCAGAATTTTTGTGTGTATTTTTTCCAGATGTAGATGCAGTTAAAAGACCATGGAAATACTATTCTGTTTTTCAACCCAAGAAGTTGAAAAGTCTGACTTGTTTTAATGTCCCAGTCATGTCTAAACAGCTTCTACATGTCTAAACAGGGTCTACATTGTTGTGCTGTTCACCAGGCTTGGCAGAAAGGCAAAAGCTGCGCAGACAGGGAAGGTGAACTACTCCCATGTCCTCATATATTTGCCCTCTAGTCCACCAGCACTAGTGTGGCTTCTAATTGCACAGTCAGCTTGAAGAACTAAGAGCTTAGTTGCAGAGGTCTCCAATTACCTCCAAGATGGTTCTGATAGTGCTACTGAAATTGCTGAGGACTTATCTGGAGCAAGATAATGCATCTAATCCTATCTTATTCTATTACTAATCACATTCTTGTCATGCATTGAGGAAGCAGAGCTGATTTTCACCTCTAGACTTTGGTGACAAACAAAACCTGAAGGAGACCTGGAATGTGTCTCCCATTAACTGTTTTCTCACAGGTTTTTATAGCTTAACTGTATAGTTAACAACAGGCATCTCACTGCCAAACCTTTTCAGTATGTGACCCCACTAAGCACTGAGATTTATGTTGTCAAAACCTTTCTGGTTGTGTTTTCTTAAGTATCTGAAGATGACTGTAATTTTGTTTCATTTTTAAAATCTTTTTACAAATTCTAAATCAGGTTGATATACACTGGATATGTTCTACAGAATTGCAAGTTTTTCAAGTAACTCAAAAGTTAAAACAGATGCTCTTCCATGTAGAACTCAGTGAGTATGATTTTCTGCAGTGATAGAAGACTTCTCCAGAACTGTCTGTGAAGCAGCTTTCATAGCTGAATTCACTTACAAATCACTGAAAGAGTAATAATAATGAGAGTAGCAACTCAGAATGTATTCCACAGCCACAGACATTCCACTTTGACATTCTGTGATACAAATCAGAAACAGATCACAATGTGTGACATATCTGAAAAGGCATGTAATTAGTTTAGGAGTTCGTTTATACTTCTTTTTTTGCTAACCAAATAGCCTTATTACATTCTTTGGTATGGTACCAGTTGTTTATACAGTGATACCTAACATGTGAGATTTCAATTTATTTCAGAATTTATGATTTTAGTTGCACAGTAAGTCTGAATGCTGGCCCAGAAGTAGCGCAAACTCACAAAGAAAAGTATAAGAGAAAGATACTAAGACTTTTTTTTTTTCTAGCACAAGTATTTCAGTTGTATGTTTTTATGACATTTGTATCTATATAAACTTATTTATACTGAAATGAGCTTTAAAAAATTTGTTTCCTTTGAAACATTTTTATTGCTCTCCTTAAAAACCCAAATTACCAACATGGTAAAGACATTAAAATAAGTTACAAAAAATGGTCAGATAAAGTAGAAGGAGAATTTTGAAGGCACATTTAGAGTATTAAATTGTTCCACACTATGGCAACAATCTCAAAAAAAGAAAGTGCATATGTGGAAGACCTCTTTCTGAAAAAAATGTTTTCCTTTCAAATGCATATGAATTAAATTTTTTCCTCATAAATACACTTCTGCTGTTTTCAGCTTCTATTTTTATAGCTAAACCTTTTAAAATTCCAACATGTCTAACCATACATTAGGCTCTTATGCCACACTAGTGCATACCTATGGTCTTACTCAATAGAAATTGTAGATATCAAGATATTTAAAAATGGTACACCTGTTCACTTAAATGAGCCAAGAGGTTTCTTGTTCAGGTGATTTCCCTGTGTGAATTTTCACACTTCTAAAGATCCTGAGATGATTGAGTGCTGTGTTTCTCTGAAACTTGAATAAATATTGTAAAATTAGCCACTAGAGGGCAGGAATACCTGTACTCCTCAGCACAGGCACATCACAATGAGTTTTGTAAGCTTACAGTTCTTTGGCTTAATCATGCTATTTTATCATAAAAATCATCTCCAAATAAAAGAAACTTGAGTTTCAGAGTTGAGCAGAAGGAAGTATGTGATTATTATATAAGGTTAAGGCTTAATGTCATGTCAATTAATTATGTAATCTTACTTTATTAAAATATCTAAAACATTTTCTTACTGTAAATGTTTGTGCAATAGTAACTGGAAATTAAAAGCATAAATAATAAATATGGCATCATAACAATATAGGTGTATGGTTTTAGTAGTGAAATAAAATCCTATTTAAAGAAATAAAAACTAAAACATGAACAATACACTACTGAGAAAATGCCATGAATGCAAAATATTTCATTGTAGCTCCCAAGCAAACTTTCCATGAATTACATTGCTCCAGTTTTGGAAAATCTAGTTTTTACACACAGTAGATATGTTCTGGTATGTTATCTTGACATATTTCACATTTGGAATCACTGGGGAGACTGAAGTCTCTGTAGGACAGTAAAATAAAGAAAGCACTGCTTACCCCAATTGACTGAGGGCAGATGGTGGCATATTATGTAGGTGTTGCTGCTGCCAGCCAGTTACAGAACCAAGATGAAGAGCACTGGCTGTATTAAAACCAGAGAGAGATGATATATCTGCACTACTCAGAGAATATTCTAGATTTGAAAACAGAAAGACAAAAATTAAGAGAGAATTAAAGAGGAAGCAATTAAACAACAACTAGCATAGTAATTTTCATGTCACTTTGTAAGCCTTTTAATTTTAATTACACCAATCACATTAAGTTGCAGCAGAAAAAGAAAATCTTCCTCTTCGCTCAACTCATTGACTTGGGAGCAAATAGCGCACTAATAATTATTCTGTAATCTAGCACGTTTTACTGGGTCTGCCAGATCTAAAGCATTCTTAGCCTGTAAATTCACCATAACTGCAAAAGCACTGTCAGAAAGACTTGGAAAATATAATATTTTGGTTACAGTCTTCCTTGCAGAAGCCAGCAGGCAGCCTGCTTCTGAACAATATATGTGTTCTCAAAACGTGCTGGATCTATGTCACGGTGTGCACTCTGCACAGCAGCAATACACAACAGGAACTGTAAAGATGCCTTGAGGCTTCATTTCTGCACCCTCCCAGGTAGGAAGCTGTGATAGCCAGCAGAGTTACTGAACTCTGGTTGGAGATAGTGAAGCTGCTTATTTCCACTACCCTCATGGCTTTAGCATGGTGCACTCAACTGCATGAAATTATATCCAAGGAAGACTAAGAACTGTTAACTGTTTTAAGGTTGTTGGGTGTTTTTTTTGTTTTTTTGGTTTTTTTTTTTTGGTGTGGTTTTGTTTGTTTGTTTGTTTGTTTTAATTAAAGCCAATGAAATAAAGCTACCAAATCAGTTTTACTTCAAGCAAATCAGCTAACTTTGAAATAGATACGTGTGAAGTTAGTGACAGGTACAGAATAAGCAAATTTAGTGCACAGCTATGCATTTTTTTATAACAACTATGAATTTTTCTTTTCAGTTTCTCCCAAAGAACATTAGCTAATTCATTTATACTGAGATATACACTCATCTGCACCTTGCTCCCTTCCCCATCCTTTGCATCCTGCACCCATACTTACCAGTACCATATGTTGTTGAGATGGCTGATGGGTATCCTCCCATCCCTTGCCCTGGTAGAGTAGGAGTTGCTACGGAAACCACTGGAGTAGCCAATGACTGAGCAGACTGGGAGTTATTTATCCTTTGATTCTTTTAAGGTAAGTAAAATAAACATATTATTGACCAGTTTTAAATCAGTTGAGTGTATTTGCTTTCTGGGAATGTTTTGTGCATGAGAAATATAGGCTATTACAAATTTCTAGAAATTAATCATTTAACATGTGGCTTTGATGAACTCTGCCAACCCTATCATTTACAAGCTTTCAAGAGACCAGCTGTCACCATAGTAACCCATTACATCAGTATCTCCTAGGTAACTGAACTAGTAAGACTGATTTTACTGTGGATAGTAGAACAGATCATGTGAAAAACTGAAGACATATATGACCTCTATTCCCATTGTTTTCCTTTTCACTCATATAGAAAAGAAAACCTACCACAAAACCCAATTAATCCCAAAAAGCAAAAGAAAAACCCCCAAACCCAGCTCTCCTGGGTTTTGAAAGTGAGGTGCACCCACAGACTGCTGAACACTGAACTCTTACCAGTGGATAGAGCCCTGACTAGTTTGTTTTTTTTTGCAGTAAAAAAACCCTTCAAGGCTGTTAGATTGCACAGCAGTTACACACTACTTTTTAAATCCAGGGCACTAGGTGTTGCACTGTAAGAATTACACTAGAGAACTCTAATTATGTGAGTTGCAGGAAAAAAGGGCTAGAGAGCCACCAAAAAAGGTGGCTGTCATAAGGCTGCGCCATCTTCAACAACATAAGTTTACATGCTGTCCATGCATCACCAAAAAGAAAAATTAATTCTACCATGCTTAATTTGAATATGTGCAACAAGTGTATCTGACCTTCTATCACTATATTTAAAAGATTGCCATGACGTATTTGTTCACAACATAGTTATTTTCCATTTTATTCCAACCAACATTTTACCTACATCATAAGAATACTTGTGGTTTTTTTTTTTTTTAATTTGTTATTAAGATGAACATCATTACCACTTACCAGAAGCAGATCAACATCCTCAGACTGATTGCATAGGAAAGGAGTGTTAAAAATTAGTAAATATAAATATTTACCAGGATGCAGGTTTTAGCTTAGGGAATATTTTCATATCATAGGGGCAGCAAATTAAACACCTTCTGAGCATATACTGGAAAAAATACACCTCATAGGTCTCTTATTTGTCCTCCTTTTAATGGACTGTTTGACTCAATCATAAGAATGACCTATCCAGTTTTCAGCACAAGACTTTCTCCAAGAATTCATTTGTCTTCCACTATCCCATTGTTTGCATATTGTCATGCTGTACCTGACCACTCACAGAGTATCTTGGAAAATATAATTTTTAAGGGGCTTGGAATAAATAATTTGATGCAGACAGCTTGTCACTGCCTTGATCAACTTGAGTATTGCAGTGTAGGACTATTTGTCACCTTTTGACTTAGGAGGTAGCGTCACATTTATGAGCAGTTTTAGTTTGACGATTAATTTATTTTGCATCAAGCTGAAGAAGCCAACTTGGAAGTTGTTTTAATAATGTTTGTTATAAAATAGAAAACTGAATCACTTAAATTACTATCTTTTTAAATTAAGTTCACTTTTAATGTTAAATTACTCAAAACAGCTTTACTTGGAAACACTGATGAACTTTTGAAAAGAAAGTGCAAGACATGGGGACACAATACCTTCCCAATTCAGCCCTTTAGCATAGTATATTGCCTAAATTTCACTAGTCCTGGCAGGAGATACAGAAATTTCATATTCCTTTTTCTCTTGCTCTGTCTATTATCATTACAAAATTCTCTTATCAATATCTCTTATCATTACAAAATTTGGAGCTCACAGTGATAGGGCTCAAATTAATTTATTACTGTTAATACGCCATCTGCTAAGAGTCTGTGTGGCTAAATATTTAAGAAAAACATAATAAGCTAGAAATGTTCAGGGTTAAATTTAGCCTTTATAACAGTGTCAGGAAAGAGTCTTCCAGCTACTGGGAGAGAGACTGCGGAAGGTTAGGCTGTGCACAGTTAGGACATAGTTCCTATTTTGCAACTCAACAGACAAAAGGTAGGAAGTAAATAAAACTTCAAAAAAAAACCCCAAAACAATAAAGAGGCTCAGCCTACATCCTCAGCTTGATGTCAAGCCCTAGTTGGAAAAAAAAAAACCAATCAAGAATTTAGTTTCCTGAGCGAGCCCTGAAATTCCTAAATAATTCTTATCTGAAGTAGATAAAAAGAAGAGCTTTGAAAATGCATTACCACTGATGGCATGGTACTCTTGCTGCCAGGTGGAATAAGCACACGGAGGTCTGGTTTACGATTGTTCATTCCCAAATTCATTGGAGGTGGAGATTTTGCTTGCATATTCTTGTTCAAGTTGCCAGGTGAGACCAGCAGACCTGGTGAGTTGCGGGGGTTTCCATATCCATTTCCTGTTAAGGCAAAAAAAAGAGGAAAAAAGAGAGAAGTTTGATGATGTCCACTGTATCTTTTAAGCCCTTCTAAAACTGTGAAATTAAAAACTTGTGGTAAATATGTGTGTCATGTATCTTTACAGGAAAATACAACATGTGCTATATTTGGAACAACTGGTTTTCAAATGCTTTCTTTCATGGCTACTGACATCTCTGTGATGTCCGGAAATTAAACAGATGACACAATTTTGTTTACAGCACTGTAATTGTTTGTTTTTTTGTTTACAGCACTGTATTTGTTTACAATATACTGTGCCCTTGTAGCAGTCAACATCTGACATTTGCCTTACAAGAATCAGGAAAGTCAGATAATTTAAGGGCATAAAAACTGTCAAAGCTATTTCATATTTTCTTGACATCTACAGAAGATTGTGCCTTTTCTGACTCAGCCCTTTGCAGGTCATGATTTTTTTTTTTTTGTTTTAAACAAGGGATGAGTTATAGCAAGGCTATAATTGCCACAAAAGGTGGCGGAGGACCAGAAGGATTCATAAATTCTTTTGGCTCTTTTTCACTGCACTTCTTGGATCTGGTTCTGTAAACACTAAAATCAATGGGAGCAAGATAATAACCTTATTGGAAAACACCACCATATCTTTCATCTTCTCTCTTATGCAGGCTCCAGGAACACTTCTGACAAGCAAATGTTTCCATTATCTGTTTTAGGAAAGAGTATTCTCTCAGTCATAGAGAGGGAATAGCATGAAAATTAATATGGAAAGAGAAAGCCTTTACCTTGGGTAAATACCAGAGAAACAAATGCTATGGAAGACTTTCTTTTCTGAGCTCAACTTTTGTTCACAAGCTGCAACACACAGACTAGAATTTGTGTGAGAAGATAAACTAGTCAGTGTGGCAGAGTCCTCTGGAACTCCAAATTTCCTCTGTTTTCCCAAAGTCAGTGAAGACCACAGTATCTCACCCAATCCTCCCCAGTGTGAAATGGTGTTTATAGCCCTAAAGAACATAAATGAATTATGGAACTAAATTTGATAATGTCTATGAGGTGGGCATAAAAATGACAGTACATGACAGCAATTTGCTCTTCTGGTCAGGATAATGAAGTGTGTCTGAGCCTGACTAAGATTTTCAAGTTCTTAATCCTCAAGTGCAAGGATGCAAGCCACTTGTATTTATCAAATCAGAAAATCCATGGAAATAAAATTTGTGAAAGGCTATTAAATATAAAAACACCACTTCAGGCTTTGGAAGACCCTGAACGGTGAACACTAGTATTATGCCACAGGAAAATTATCAAAAACTGCTTGAATTCTGTACTTGTCAGGTACCTTCAGTAACTGGTCTGGTCTGGTCTGGTCTGGCTTGTTTTTTCTCACAATTTCTATTATCATGATCTCCAAGACCTTGCAATATAATGAAAATTTAAGAGCTCTTCTAATATTCTGTATTAAAATGATTTTGGAAATTTTGCACTAAAATATTTTTCATAGTTAATCTTGTTGTTTATTTCCTTAATAATATCATACAGCTAGGAAAACAAAATGAGTTCTGAAATGTATTTTAGACTTCCCAAGCAAATTCAGCAGAGTGCTTTCAAAGGCTTTTAATTTTGTACCAGTAGGTTTTTTTTCTCAAAATGAACAATTGTCCTCAACATAGAGGAGCTAACTATTATGCTCTAATTAATGCTATGTGTTACTACAGGCGGTGAAATCAGAAGGGGCATTTTGAATATACAACAGTATTTTCTACTACAAACCACACTGCATTTTAAAAAATTCGTCTTCTACAAACTGAATACTGAAAATCAAGATGTGAAGTGATCAACAGAAAAAACTGAAGCAAAACTAAGGTTTCTCTCGTGTCATACCTTCATAAAGGAGGTATTTTAGCAGCAGGATGTAAAACTATCTGTGAAATCTGTCACATGACAAGGATTTGCTCGGAGAGTGGCAATGGAACTGTTTGAAGCAGCACTGAGTTTTTTTCAGTTCTAACAATATAGGATCTAAGATATATAGCAAAATGGATTCCACTGTACTCTATATGTTTCTAGTTGTGATTTTTAGAGAATAAATCACCTTACAAGAAAGAGCTCCCATTTCCTACATAAGATTTACTTTATATTATATACTATTAAGAAATAGTGCTTAGGGGAAAGAGTGCTTCTGTATAAAGCTTTATTCTGCAGAAACATTCATCTGACCTTTACTGATGTGAAATAGTATGAATTATTATGTTTATATTTTAAAAACATCAAATTCTTTTATAGAACTACTTCAATAATTTCTTTCCCAGCAGATTTCTGCTGTTCATGGCATATTAATGCCTGCTAGCATTTTGAGGCCATGTAATAGTTCCTCTTTCCAGTCATCAAACTTATTCTTCTGGTATAGTGAGGATTCAGGAATGAATCCGAAATCCTCACTATATAAGACTATGGACCTTATACCAATAATACAGAAACCTATCATTTGGAAATCAGAGATGAATGCATGCATGTGGTTTAAAGATAAGAAGAGTCTGCATGGAAACCAGTTCTTTAAACTGTACTCTTTTAATTCAAGAGGGCTGTGGCCTGCTCTAAGGCAGCTGTCCCACTTTCAGATAAATCCACCAAAGAGAATGGCCTCATTTACATTCAGAGGCAAAACAAATGCGTAAGACTTCTAATGTACAAATTAAATCTTCCTTCATGCTATACTTTAAAATTATACTCTGCCTGGACAAATATCAATTTAGATGTGATCGTATGCAGAACATCTCATTCTGCTATCCACCTGAAAGCATAAAAATTATATGCCATATATGAATGGATTTGATTATAGATCATAAGAAAATGAAAACCAGATGGATTTTAGAGCAAGTTGGCTTCCCATTTTTATTTGATAAAAAGCCATATTTTTTAATGGAACAGAACATTTTTAAACATTACAAACAGATTCTATAAGGCATAATGAAAACAATGAAAATAGAAACAGTGGATGCACAAATTTTAAAGGGCATATGGCAGAATTTGTAAATTTATAGCATTTTTAATTCAACAAGTTTTCAGAAAAAAATATTTTTCTTTGTATTGTTTGTTACACTGACTTGTAAGAGTAAAAATATTTTATTCAGAAAAGAGCTAGTTTCTAGACAAGCTAGTGGAGCAGCATGTGTCATGAAATGCAGTGCCAGACTTTGTATTTGGACTAATGGGAGAATGTAAAGACAAATACTTTTTGAGCACAGAACACTCCTCTTGGACATGCTCTCACATTTTGCATTTCGGCACAAGTGCCACTGACTGTAGAATGAATTCTGTCCAAGTACAAACTGCATGATTAATCCCTGTAATTTCACTTTTCAAAAAACTCGGAAAAGTTATTTTTGTGCACTGATAGTTATTCAATCAAGAATAATTATTTTAAAAAAATCCATTTAATAATGAAAAACTACATTTTTAACTGTGCTACAAATTAATGTATTACTGTCTTAAGTATTTTAATCTTAAATTTTAAGATTTTAAGGATACCAGAAGGTCACAAGCTTTATCAGGACAGAATAGAGTGCAAAGTTTAGTTCTCTCCTTTCATCCCCTATTAGTAACACCCATACCTTTAAAGGAGTTTTGGTCATTGGTGTTACAGGGGTTGCAAAGTGGCTGCAATTCTGAATATTCTCAGAGTTAGGACAATAAATTTATATTGAGCATTTAAGCTAGGAAACTTTCCACATGTTAAGGTAGCGCAAATGAGAGAAGAGTAACTTTTTTCCTTATCTCTCAACATTCTTGAACATAATTTTAATAATTCAAAGTCTTTAAGTCTTGAAAAATTGGAAAATTTTAGGACTTTGATTTCTTGAACATTTGAAACTGTCATGTTCCTACTTGTTCCTTTTTTTCTTTTTATTTTTTTTTTCTTTTTTTCTTTTTTGTGATTTCAAAGTTATAGAGATATACTGAATGAAAAATTCTCTAAAGAACTAAAGTGGAAGAAAGAAGTACAAGATACACAATTTGTATGTCCTTTATTTGATCTCTTATTTGTTTATTCTAGTGCTTTTCACTGACAATATGGGTTGAGAATTTACAAGATCCTTAGGAACCTGAGATTAATTTTAACACAAAATGAACTTTCAAATTCTTGAAGGAGTTCCTCCTCTTGAAGGAGAAACTTGCTCATTTCAAGTTTCCAATAAGTGTACACTTTTACTTGTGAAAGCTTTAATATTTCTCCCAAGATGAAGATATACATTGGATTTCTTGGAGGAATTCTACTTCCTATTTGGTTATACTAAATGCATATGTCATATATATGATATTTTGACTGATCACCAAGCCTCTAAAGAAGAATTTTAAGTACAGAATTAATATATATAAACATGAGAGCAAAGTATTCTGCAAATTATCTCTACTTCAAAATATATTCATACGTATGAAAGAATCAATAAAAATTTTGCCAAATTTGCATCCAGTTTTTCACTGTTTTCTCAGTTTATTTTCCTATTTTCTGAAGGAATGGTAATTGTTCTTAATAATAATTAAAAGGTAATGAAAAGTTTTCTTTTCTCTCTTACTTTATTTCTTTTGTATTTTTTTCCATACACACTAAAACAAGCTATGGTTTATTACCCAAAATAAAAAGATAGCAACAACAAAGAACTAATGTTAGGAAGATATACTGTTGTTCATTTAAAAATAATTTAAAAAAGAGGTTACTGAAAATTCTTACTCATATGTCATGTTTGTCACATTTCACAGCAGACAACTGTTACTAACTGCAAATGGGAGAAGAAAACCAATCTGCTGCTACCCTCATCCAGAGAAAAAGGAAATCTTCACTTTTAAATAGCTGCCCATTCCCACTACACTCAACTAATGGACCTTCTTAACTGAATTATAAGGAGTCAACTCATACAGATATGGTATTAAGAAATCTAATGACTTTGTGTGGAAGAATTCTCAAACATCCTGTGAAAGAATCAGTTACTTTTTCAGGAGGGCTGAAACAGAATGACAGTTCAGAGAACACACAGACTTTTGGAAGAATGAGAGAAGAATGAGAAGAAACTATCTCAATGACTCTGTTAGTTTTAAAACTAATCACTTAGAAATATAAATATATGATAGAGATTTCTACATTAACAGAAGTCTAAGCCACCTCTCTTTAACTCACCCATTCTTGCCATGCAGATCCTACAACTGTCAATGGGAACTTGCTCTTTAAGTTTAAAAAGATGAAAAGCGCTCTGATGGCATTGCAGTTGTCCTGCGTGTAGGATGAAAGACCATGAGAACAGAAAACTGACCTGTGCATCGTACCTCATGCAAACACTTCACTGCTGGGTCAAGCGCATGGCAAGCTAACCTGATCACAAACACTGTGGTTATGTTTTATTGCTATAATAAGAGCTGTACTTAAATGTTTCTAAATTAGTACATCCACTAAGTATTCTCTGACTTTAGGAGTTCACACCTTAAAAAAAAAATAAAAAAGAAGTAAAACTGGTATCTGACTCTTTGAATTAGCCTGTGGCTACCCACACAAGCACTTTGAGAAACCCGTCAAAACAATTCTCATTGCAATTAGTCTTCCCAAGTGGCAGGCAGATATTTCAGCACATGGACTCCCTCCTTGCAATCCTTGGAAATAGGGTTGTATATCATAGACAATGAGGGTCTGTGATAAGTTATACACTTAGAGAAGGGGGAATGTGCTTTCTTCTTCAAGGATGATCATCACTATTCCTTTTTTTCTTTTATTTTCTTGGTTTTTTAAATTTTACTTTTAAAATCAGCAAAGAAACAGAGCAATAGATGATCCAAGTTAAGGGCCTGTTTGTGTTTTTTCAGTCTTCCCCTACAATTACTATTGCCAGTATACCTATAATCTAATGTCCAGTCATGGCTCTTACCATGGTAAAAAAGGTGTCTTACCATGGTAAAACAGGTCTCCTGCCTCTGCCACTGGTGTTGTATGTAATGCCATGAGGAGATAGCGCAGTGCAATGTCCCTGACCTTGCATAGTGCTCTGTTCTCACTCTCATTTGACATTTACAAATGTTAAGTCCATGTTCTGCACTAGGAATGCAGTAGTCTTCCACACTAATGTGTAGTCTAACAGGAGAGGCCAGTGCCTCTCCTATTAGTGATGAGGTGGTTGTCTGAAACTTAGCTTGCATCACAGCTTTTCCAAAAAATCTTGCTGAATCTCCAACTTACTGGCATAGCCCTGATCTCCTAGCATGTGAACAACTCATATGTGGCGCTCCCCTGAGATCTGAGATAAACATCTATCCTAAATATGTTTTCAGGACTTAACCATGCTCTTATAATTACACTAGTTGAAAATATGCTCCATTCTAGTCCTGTTTATGCAAAAAATGAGAAGTTATTTGGTTTTTTTTTTTTTACTATGGGTTGTTTCAACATTGTGATAATTGAGAAAAAGAAAGCAATGCCAGAATGTGACTTATGTCAAAGAGAAAACTATATTGCTGAAAAATGTATTTCTTTGTGAAGATATATAGGAGAAAAATACATTCCTGGGAAGAAGAGAGAACTTGACTGCCAGAAAGAGACTTTTGACAAATCATGACACAGAATCACAGAATGGCTTGGGTTGGAAAAAACTTTAGAATACTCAGATCCAAACCCCCTGCTAAGGGCAGGGACACCTTTTGCTAGAAGTTACTCAAAACTCTATGCAAGGTGGCCTTCAGCACATCCAGGGATGGGGCACTCACTTCTTCTGCCCAGCTTCTCTGGGCAGCCTGTGCCAGAGCCTTAAAATCCTCAGTCAATAATTCCTTCTGAATACCTAATCTAAACCTGCCCTATTTCAGTTTGAAGTCATGATCCCTCTGTCAGCCATCTGCTTTTAACAAATTATTTGTAGATGACAAATGATTTCCTTTCTGGGCTGTATGAAGTCAATTATCATTTTGAGGAAACTGCTTTTCAATGAAAAATATTTCAAGACAAGTATAGTTCCAATTATAAACAGGATGCCTTATTTGAAAAGATACCTAACCCATCCCTGTCTCCTTTGGCTTCTATTATTGGGAGACTGCCCCAACTGTTAGCACAGGAAAAATGACCTTGTAAGAGATTTGGAAGACAAAGGGAATGGTTGGATTCCATATCTTAATTGGCGGATCACATTGAAAGTTAAAGGGCAGGGGTAATGTTAACTTAATGCTGTCAGGAACTTCCATGTGGGGCTGCAGTCACAGCTTCAGGAGGTTAAAAGCATTTCTTGTTTTCTTTCTCACAGCAAAGTCCTTGCTCCAGTCCAGATCCAAGAGGCATCAGCTACTCCTTTCAGGACTGAGGACATGCAGGAAATACAGACATTTTTTCTAATTTGCAACGCCTTCTCCTATTTTCTGAATTTGAACAAGAATATGTATTGCAGTGTGCAACAGAAGACAGTATTGTGTCTTAATGAGCAAGTATGCAGACAAAAAAAAAAACAACCAGTGAAATTCCTGTCTTATTTAAAGAAAGCATAAAATTCCCCCAGACTTCAATTGGAAAGGGATTTTATGTAAAGAACACAAATTAGTCTTGAGGAATATTTGAAACTTCTTGTAATAAAGGAAGTCAATCATGCCTGTCTTTAAGATCTCATTTACAAAGAACCAGTTTATATGACTCAGTTGTTCATCACATGTGAACTTAGGGCTTTTTGAAAACCTTTCAAGCTGTCTTTTTATAAATACAAATATTGAGATATTGTTATTAGAGACAGAGAATAACTAAATATGTTACTAAATTGATATCACCATGACATTTTATGAAAATCCTTTGCTAGGATTTTTCTCCTATTCTAGCTGAGAAGCCTCAGAAAAGAAATGCAAACAATAACTATCTGATGGCTCTGGAATGTGGTCTGAACATTGCTTACCTACAGGTGCATCTTTGACTGGTCCATGTGGATTGTTTCTACTTAATGACCAACAATGGTCCAGCTGTGTCAGACTCTCTGCGAGTCATGGGTTTTTGTTATTTATTCCATTCCATTCCTTTCTAGCTTTCTGATGGATCCTTTTTCTCTATTCTTTGTAGTACAGTTTTAGTATATAATTTTAATATAATATAATATCATAATATAATAAATCAGCCTTCTGAAACATAGAGTCAAGATTCTCATTTCTTCTCTCGTCCTGGGACTCTCGAACACAACCACAAGTCAACACTTACACAACTGGTAGAAGCCTAATAAAGGCCAAATTTTTACAGATTTTCATTGAAGTCTACTGAGAATGGGCTTGCATGGGTCTCTTTGATAAGAGGTCACATGAATTAGTTGAAGACAGACACATCCAACCTTTGTATATGACACCCACTGCAAGATTTTAAAATTTTTTTATATGAACAGCAGCATCTAGCCTTTCTCAAAATTTCATTTGTGAATTTTGTGTGTTATTTGTAACTTGGAATTAGAGTTGGAAAGGCCTGTGTTGACTGACTACATAGGTATAAAATTCAGTAGATAGACTATTTCCTTCATACCATGAATTAGACCTGTCAAACAAGTTTTAGTGTTCTGCCTGCTTTGACAAAATCTCCTACCTGTAGGTACTTCCCCTGAAACAATGAAGAAAAAAAAAAAGAATCTATCATCTAATCTATCTATCTGTCTATCTATCTATCTATCTATCTATCTATCTATCTATCTATCTATCCATCTATCCATCCACCCACCCATCCCACTATGTATTTATCTCTATGTATACAGATATATATTCTTATATGGAGAAAACCTTGGAAGAGGAACACTTAAAGGCTAAATACAAGTGGAAAAGGAAAACCAGAGCAGTTACATTTTTAATTTCTTATCCCACTTCATGGTTTTAAGCCAACTTGCCAATTTATGAATTCTTATTGTTTGGATTTGGCTCTATTGCATCACAAACTCTGTTATGAATGACTGTGTGTCCTTTCTTTTGTGCTGTGAGATTCCTTGGACAGGAACTATTTACTTCTGTACCACATTTTGCCCAGTCTTTGGGCCAGAAGTCTGTGGATTATTGCACTCAAGTAATATGGGACAACAACTTATCATGCTCTCTGTGGCAAAGCCAGTTACCGTCTTACTAATAGGTAACCCATAAACTGTGGTTTGAGAAATAGTTCTCCAAGCTCATTTGTTTATTTAACATATTTCACACTTGTTGTCCAAGAATTATCTTCTCTTGGCTATACCAAGCATGATGTCAGGGTAGAGTGAAGAATACTTATGTAACATTTCAATTTATTTAATTTGTTTGTTTATTTATATTTATAGCTCAAAAAGTATTTAATGCAGCTAGATGTCTTTGAAATCATTGCTTAATTTTGGTACTGCTTGTCAGCTTAATTGGGCAGATTGCACATCTTTTCACTAAATCACTCTTTGAGGATATACTATCCAGATTGCCTCTACCCTGAGGGAATATAAATTAAAAATTGCTACTATTACACCATAGCCATATAGCCATAACATAGCCATATTCCCATGTGGCAAGAAATACTAGTAAAACATATAATACATTCACCCACAGTCAATACACCACCCAGAAAAGGAAAAGGAGAATGAAAACACTAGAAAATTATGATACTGGCTGGCACTTCAGGACCTCAGCCTTCAGAAGATGAGAAGGCAATTGCTGGCCTGTGGCTAATTTCCAAAAGGAGATGACTTGCTGCTGATTCATTATATGCTGCTGATTCATGATATGCTGCTGATTCAATACAGGATTTGGTTATTAAGAAACATGGGATAAATTTTTCACAATACAATGCTGATCTATTCAGTTTCTAGTGCTTTTTAATAACAGGTTTAATGGTAGTTTGAAGATGTTAGATTGAAAGACAGCAAGTGTTTCTCTGACAGTGCTTGTAGAGCCCCAATAACTTTAGAATAACTTTCTCCTTTAGTTTAATATTAATGTCAAGATGGAGGCAGTGCAGAAATTGAATAGAGAAACAAATATATTACAGAAGTAAACAGCTGAAGTAGGTATATATTTTATAATACCCATCATGGATTTAAAACTTGAGATGGAAATTTTCCTTTTATTTTATTATTTACAGTTGTTTTAAGTCTATAGAAGTGCTGTTGATATAAATTGGCTCATTCCATTCAAAGGAAAACTTTATTACAAAATACAAAATATCTTTCTCTGAAAGCCATACAAAAGGAAAAATAGGACCCAGTCTAAAAGTAGAACTCACTTTGAAAATCAAAAGTTCAAAGGACAGATGCAAAGAAAGACTGTTCTATTTTAAATCTTTAAAACTATTAAAAAATTTTAGTTTTCTATCAAACTTTCAACCTATACAATAAGCCACTGAATAAAAATTGAGATAATTGACAGTACTAAAACCTCACAGACACTTATTTGTGTTTAAGTTGCCTTTAAGAGTTTTGTTAAAAACTACAGTCTATTAAAATTAAAAGAACTTCAGGTAGTCTATTATATAAACAGGTAAATATATCACTTAGCATTCATATTAGTTATGAAGTAAACTAAAATGGATTTAGAGCATGCCTATTGGGGTCCAAAAAGTTCTTGTTCTGTCTTTCAATCAAAAGCCTCTCTTTTGAGGAAATAGCGTCAAAGACATTACTGTATTTATAATTTAGCAATGATACGAAATGTGAAGATCACTCCAATTTTGTTGACATGTTAGAAACTACTCACTCAGTGTTTGGCTGAGAACAAATTTACTCTTATGAATCTGAGACAGCATTGGTTAACCTTAAAAATACCATACATGGTAATAGTTGTGTAATAAAGAAGTAGTCAACTTTCTAAGTTCTATTTATGTCTTGGGTTAACTCCCAAGGTAAATTGTGGATGATTCTAGGGTTACTACTTGAAATAATCCAAGGCAATGAAAAAACATACTTCTTTAAACACTGTCTTAAATAATCCATTTCTCATATTGCAGTAATAATGCAATTTATTTTGATGCAATTTATTGAAGTAGTGCAGAAACTGAGGACTGGTGGTAATAACAAAAAGTAGTTTCATTTTATAGTGACAGAAATGAAATTGTTTAGACTTTTTTTCTTGGAGTATATTATTTTGAATATATGCTATTTTTTCACATTGTGGAAAAATGCAAATTCAGAAGGTTCTAATTTGGCCAGAAATATAAACCCAAACATGATCATACTACCAGCTTCTCAGATGCCAGAAAGAAGAAAACACACAGGTTTTTGTTTCTTGTGAAAAATGATGAACAAAGAGAACTTTTTATGTTTATTCTTCTTCACCTTAAAGAAAGATGACTGTTCAAAATAGCGCCATTGTGGAATGATACAACTAAGACAGAGGATTCAACCTTATAGTGACTTTTCCATCTTCCTTCAGCCCTTTATCTAATTCTTCCTATTGTTCTGCTTTAAAGAGATTTAGAAAACATTTCTTTAATGTTTAAAGCTTTTATTTTCCAATGAAGAACAAAGACTATTCCTGCAATTAAATATTTATGATGTATTCTCAGCAATGTTCTTCATATATATACCGCTCAAATAAATTGCTTACTCCAAAATTGCATTGCTTGAGAGCTTAATGCAAGTCCTTAATTTTTGATTAAGAATAATCAAACCATTTCTTCTCATGCTTAAGTATGCTTTTAATATATTTCCAAAAAAATCCCGCATTTAGAAAGAAAATAAATTTTTAGCTGGTGTAGTGATATACAGGTTTTATTAAGAGCAAGGATTATTAACAGAAATGTATATGCAGATGAATTTTTATTTTAGTATGGCCCTGTTTTAAACGGAAACACTGCCTTCTTTACTAAATGCTTTTCAGCGTCTATTTAAAGGAATAGGAAGCCAGTAACGAGGTGATGATATTTCTATATGAGCCAGGAGAGGGAGCTCCTTAATAGGGCGATCAATTCCTATGTCAGTCCCTCTGCTGCTGTTCCTGAAGTTCTGCTCAAGCTTACAAGTAAGATGAAATGTGAACACTGCAGAATGAATATTTCTTTAGCGCTGTTTCAGAGGTTAACAGGAGACAATAAAAAGACCGATAATTTTCTGTCACCCTTTTTTTTTTTTTCTTTTTTTTTTGAGAACAAAGGAGACTGATAATGAAGTTTTCATGGTCTGCCTTCCCTACTCCCAAATTAATACGAAACGACTCCCTAAAGCTTTAGTATGTGTTTAAAGTGCCTTTGTGGTACAGTGCTGTGCGGCTCTAATTGTACTGTGAATGCATCGCACAAATATCTGTGACTCATCTATGTGTGAAAATAAAAGGGGAGTGGAGGTCCCTAATTCAGGCTGAGAAAAGACAGGGAAGAAAAACCCGAAACCATTATATCTAAAATTTCTTTATAGGTGATTTTAACAGACAATATTGGAATTGCCATTTTATATCAGCCTTGATTTATAGTGCACAAAATTGATCTTCCAACTATTTTTCTGTACAATTCTCCCTGAGAGCAGTTACCCAAGCAAAACATCATGCCTTACCACTCAGTTATTTTCTGTGAATATACGTTTACTTCTCAAACTGCAAAAGTAATTTTGACATTGTCTTTTGTAATCTGTATTTGTCATAATGCAACATAGCTGATATTGCTAACAGATCACTGAGTTTACTGAGCAAAAGGGACTACTCTGACAACATTGCTTTGATAACACAGACCTCAGCAAGTACAGTTCTTGGTAGTTCCAAGGGAGTAGGACTAAATGGCATATCTTTTTCTCTGCCTGGGTATTTTGAAAATCCTTTACCTGTTGTGTGTCAAAGCAGTAAGCAAATACATATGACAAAGCTTAAGTTAATTACTAATTATTTAAGTAAATGCTAACAGATTTTGCTGACTATCAATGGTCTTAGAGCAGGGGTTTGAAATACAGTTTACACACAGTACATTGAAATACAATGAGCAACTCACTATTGAAATCTTTATTCAAGCTTAAATTAAAAATGAAGCCCTAATTCCACTCAAGTCAATGGCAAACCTTCCCAGGATGCAAAAAGGATCAAAGTTTCTCACACTGACCCCACCAGTTTTTCTGGACCAAGGCAAAGCAATGTACCCAAAAGTTTTTATGGAAAGGCTAATGTGAAGGAAATCAGACATTTGTTTCTGTGGAATTTGTTGAGGTGCAAGATTTTTGATGCTGCTGGAAAACAAGACTCTTTCTACTAATAACAGAAGCACAAATGCCAGTGAATGCTCCACAACCCAGCTGAGGGAATTCAAAAAATACTAATGGATTTTTACTATCCCCTCTCCAAAATGGAGCTATTTTAGAACTCAGCTTTTGAAGTAAGTCCTTTATTCACTTAAAAAAATAAATAGAATTTTTTCTCTCTTTACCTGCACTGGTGCCTGCACCGGTTGTGAGGTCCCCACCCATCAGGCCACCTGGGGGTTTGAAATGAAATGTAAATGAGCACAATAAATTACAACACTCAAACATTCAAAATATTTTCTCTACCTTCCATCAGCCTGCTGTAGGACCCATTATTCTTTTCGTCAACACGCAGTTGAATCAGACCCATAATTATAAAATCATGATGTTTAATGTTACCTGTATAAGACACTTGCCTTTCAAGGACAAACAAAATACGGAGTACCCATAATTTCCTTATTTTAGTTTTATGCTTCCACAGCATATGAAAAATTAGTTTAGTTTGAAAGCTATGTATAGTACTCCTTCATTTGAAAACTATCTTTAGTTGAATGCTAGTCAGAAAAGTAAAGGATTGGGAGGAAGAGGCTGAAGATTCCTTGAGAAGAATGTAACTCAGAATAAATACATACACATAGTTTTTAATTTCCTCAGCCTTTCACAGACATTCACACTAAGGATTTTTAAAACTTCTCTTTGCACTTGGAGACCTCAAATGATTCTTTGAACCTGGTATGCTTAAAGATCTTGATGTTGCTGGAGGCAGACAGATTGAAACAACCTAATCCCCACTTACCCTAATCAGAGACAAGCTCTGGTCATCAAAAGAACAAATGTATTTGTTCTTGCTATGTAAAGTACTGAAGTACAGAGCTCAATTAACATTAACCCATCAAGGAACTTGTGAGTGAATCAATAAAAATCAGCATGTAGACTGATTATTTAAGTAATCAGTGTTCTAATTTGCTTTAAATTTTGCATTGGCTACATTTTCTTCCCTGCTTTATGTTATAATGAGTACTTGCATGAATTAAGTAGATAAGCTGCCTTTTTATGAAAAATCATGCTGTCTGCCCTTCTGTCCTTTATTGACTTCACTGATTTCCTTCAATCTTAGTCAATATTCAGTATTCAGTTTTTTTTTTTTTTTTTTTTTTTTTTTTTTGTCTCTTGATTTTTCAACACAGCAGTTTTAGACAAGGTCTTATGACTGTTAAGGTTCTTTTTTCTTGGAGTACAATTCAAAGTGACCCAAGGCATGCAAGGAACTGATAGTAGAGCATTTGAAGGAATGGGATTGAACAGAGCCTACCTGTGTTACCTGCACTTGGAGGCCGATGTGTCACACCAGGAGACATGCTATTCCTTTGCAAAGAAGGATGAGCCAGTGGTAAAAGGTTGGGGTTTCCCAGTGAGCTGACTGGGTTACTGTATACCAAACTGTTGTGGTTGGACACTGGAATAGAAACTGGCATCTCAAAGTTTGGTGGTGGAACAGCCTGTACAAGAAAAATGGAAAACAAATACGAGAATAGTACAAAACTGAAACAGCCTTTAAGTACAGTAACTCTGTATTTAGTTCAAATATTTTGCACATGGTGGTTAAAATATTTGTGCTTTCCCCTTTCCCCTAAGACTCAAGAGAAGAGTATCATAATAATTACCAAGTCTTTTAAATATGATTTTTCAAATAATGATTTCATCTTCCTTTAACCAAGCTTGCACATTTATTTCATGAGACCTAGAAAGACTTTTTTCACTTTTTCTCCTTTTTTTTTTTTTTGTTTAAAACAAACCTCTGCCTAGTGCAGCATAATTTTCTATTTGTTTCATTCTTTGAAGTCCTAATTGTTCACCTGTCACTTTAATCTAGTGTCATAGATTACTGCAAGATCAAGATTACATGACAACGGTGATTTCATTACATGGAAAAAAAATTGGAGGGGATGGAATACAAAAGGGAAGGCTCTAATTTCAGCTTGTGTTGCTTTAGCAACCAGAATTATCCCAAGTCACATAAAAGATGCCAGTACAGTAAAGCATTTTTAACGAGTTTCTATCTTAGCTTGGAAGGGCTTAAAAAAAGTAAAGTTCTCCTCAGGGACAGCTAACAAATACAAGAAATTTAGATACACACTAGTCTTTGTGGGTTATTTTTCCTATTTTCATACCTAATAACGAAATCTTCTCCTGAGCCGCTTCCCTTTGCAAGAATGCTTAAAAAGCCACAAAACCTGCAAATAATGTACCACACTAATAGAGGTTGTGAGGAGATGCATGTCTCATTATGCTCTTAGGAAGCTCAGTTCAAGTTTCCTTGGCTGGTTGTGAGTTTGTTGGTTGGGGTTTCTTGGGTAGCAATTGCTTGAATTTCTATAAAAGTTACGACTACATTAGAAATCCATATTTAATTCATTTGTTTTAAAAATTAAGTTTTAAAAATTCTTGTCTTTTTGATCAGAAAAACCTTTTCAGAATTACCTGACAGCATTTTAAGTATTCAATATGTGAATACAGACCAAGAGCCCCTCAATTTGCAAGTTTTCTAACATTTATAATCTTATAAGCTTCAAGAGCTTAAACACATCAAAAAATTGCTTAAAGTAGACTGGTAACATATTCCGAGGGAGGAAATTAAAAGTTTTAATTTTATTGTTGGCAGCTGATAGTATTGGTATATCTTCAAGGACCTAGGAGGAGAGCTGGACATATCAACTGCTTGTCAGGCAACCGAGGCACCCTGACCTTGTGCCACCCATGTCTCTCCTCTGGCTGGAACTGTTGGCTATGCCCTCTGTATTACAGCACTATCCATCAAATTACAATAGTCTCTTAAGGTTGCTTTTTTTCTTTCTTGGGCCTCTCTAGGGACAGAGAAAATTTAATTCTAAATATGGAGGAATTATTTTGCCTAACCACTAAAACAAAGAGCAAGATTTTCAAGGTATGATGTTAAGGATACTTTATAAAAATCCTTTTGAATGATTTTGAAGCATTAATTTAGCTCTGATACCCTCTCCTTTTTTCGAGAGATAGCCATAGCAACAGTAGCGGAGTACATGGACCTGCTGGCATTGCTTCCCACTTGGGAATTTGTTTCCCTTTGCTGAGAAGCTGCAATGCACTCAAAGAGCTGTAGTTTTCATAGAGCTGATTGATTTAAGTAGAGGTAGGAAAGGAATGTGAGGTGTTTTGGGAATCCATATGTTCTACATCTAATCCACAGATGTAAGATTCTACATGTAATCTGCACCCTTATGACTCAGGTCTAAGCTCCTTGGAAATAGGGTCACGTAGCATAATCTGAAACATTTGATCAGCTTGAACATATGTTTTGAAGCAAGTCATTCTTTTTATTGGCCACAGAAGGACCAAAAATGTTCCTAAATCCCATGTTCGTCAGAAGCATGTGACTGTGGAGTTCAAAGTCAGTGTTTGAGCTCTCCATGTTTGAGTCCCAATTATAGCCTGATGTGAGACATGAATAAGTCAACATGGAGTTTCTGATTATTGCAACATCCAGGACTGTGATGGAGTTCTCTCTGCCTGGTGGCTTTGAGCCCATGGACCTGCCTGCTTGAGTACCAGTCCATGTTGCATTGACTGTCACTGTCAAGGGAGGACTTTGCATAAGGTTTTCATCACCCTGTGTCACAAGACCTATGAAGTCTGCTTTCTGAGTCTGGGTAGAGACTATTATTGTCTCTATTTTCTTAATACTTTTTCCTAATCTAAATTTCTCTTATCTAAACTTAAACACCTGTACAAATGCAAAACTGAAGGTCTTGCCAGAATTCTAAAAGCTTGTTTGCTTTAACCACTATGCTTTTTCTTCCATGTACAAACCAAACTGTTCAAGATTCTTCTTTTTCTACATTTGTACAAGAGCTCCAATCTTGGTAGCTCTTTGAATTGCCAGTCTCCCTAGTCATGTAAAACTGTTACTTAGCTTTCATTTTGTCATTTAAAAATTATATTTTTTAAGTAGTTGAATTATTTAATTTCTGTACTTATAGTCTAGCTTTTGTCATTTTATCCACTATCTGGATCAACTTGCATCTGTTTACAGAGCACTGTAGGCAATTTTATAAGGGCAAAGTTAATTTACTGTCTGCTTTTCAGCACAATATACTACATCTGAAATACGGTAGTTTTTATTTCTTCTTCACTACAGTCAAAAGTTAGAGGGAAAAGTTTGACTGGGTAAATATCAGTATTAAACACTATATTTCTACATACAGTTTTCTCTGTTTGTCTAAATTTATTAAAGTGTTACACATTCTTCACAAAGAACTTCAATGTCCTGCAGATTCCCTAGTCATTCCTGCTGAGCCATGGGTCATATTGATTCCATTTCAACCTGATGGACAACAAAGTTTCTGATGCACTTGTGTAATATCTATATTAGTAGGAGCTAGGGAGGAACTGAGGCCATCTGAAGCCACAGAGCAGTTCATGTCCATACCATTAAGCTTTCTCAACCTCAAAAAAGTCATGGCTACATGTAGACTGACAATTGGGAATTGTTCCTGGCTTGGACTAACAAACAAACAAAATGAAGAAATTGTCTGGGAGAATGTTATTTGGCATCAAAAGGTGTCAAAAGCCTGATGGGGACTGTTCAAAGAATTCACCTCAGAGATAAGCACACTTCATGCTGCTTTAGTGTGTCTTTTGCTTTTTTTGCTAATTCTAATATAGACAAAGTCTATACTGTCATGTGTATAAAGTTTGCCACATTTTGCCTATTTTTTCTCCCTCCCTTTGTCTTTTCTCCTTTAGACACTACTGCCAAAGAGGCAGAAGGCTCACCAGAGATGATACCAAACTACAGCACACAGTGTTAGATGCTTACTCCACAAGCTATGATATGTGATGTCAAACAATGTGTTGGACACTCAACCCACTTGGAACTTAATGGACCAAACATTCTCTGTTAAGTATTGGTTTTATCCCCCCATATTCAACCAGGCCTTCATTCATTTAGAGACAGAGATACTTTTAGCTTCCTTCTACTGAGCTATTTCTGTCTCCTCTGTTTTCATCATTCTTATGAAATTTACAAATAAGTGTCCAATTTTTATCAGATGGTTTAGAGCAAATGAATACTTATCCCCAGAAAATTATCTGAGGAAACATTATTGGGTTTAGCTGTTAGGAGCAAAAGCCAATGTTGTTTTCATTTGGCAGCAATTTTTTTATGTTACAAAACCAGGCAGAGGCAATGCATTGTTTTCTATATTCTATAAGTAGTGATTTAGAGACTTGACTCAGTGACTTTATTATTAATTTTGCTTTCTTCTCCCCAATTTTCTCAGCTACCATTGATGATCATAAGTAAATGAATATATCTTCCCCGACTTAGTTATTCTGATTTGTCCAGTTAAGGATATTGCTGTATAAAATACATAATTTTATATATAAAACCAGACAGTTACAAATTTCTATTATGCATAAGCTGTGATCTCGGTCTTGCTCATTACATCTCGGCTTATGGCAAGAGAAGGAGTTCCTGTTGCATTACCAGAGAATATCTACTGTTTCTTCCTATTGTGGTAAGCAGCTTGATGGAGGACAGAGGCCCTAAGCTTGTGATGTATTCAGAGAATGGCTATTCTGTCTTACAAGAAAAAATGCTAACATTTTGCTATTCTGTGTCTCTGAAGCGTCTCTGAAGTAATTGCACAAAAAGATTAATACATTACACTTCATAACCTCCTGAAAGATAGGAAGTTGTACCCTAAATCACCAATTAATTCCTGAAGTAGGACTATATTTGATGTCAAAAAGTTATATTTAATGAAAGCAACTGGAGGGAAATGCCATTAGTTTTGGGAAAACAAAACTGATATACCATGCTCAGATTAACTGTCTGGTTTACAAATCTTATATATTTTTTCAGTTTACAGAAAAGACAATTTTCCCAAATGCTTATGGAGGTAAAGAAAGAGACAGAACTCACTACTACAGGAATGAAGTTTTTTTTCCAAAGTTTTTTTTAAGATTAAGTCTTAAGATTTCAGATGATTATAACATGACCTGTTTTGTTAAGAAAGAAAAGAAACAGGTAGCATGAGATTAACAGATGTTCTGAAGGATCATTCCAAATATATTTTTAAGGCAGAAAAGTAGCTTGATGAAAATTCTGTCAGTTTTATTTGAAAAAGCCAAAAGTCATCCTTGAAAGAGAAATGGCATGAAAGAATGACAGTTGGTTAGATTTTGATGTGGAAAAGCGTTAAGCAGTCTGGCTTATAACAATCACCCTCAATACGGTGGTCATCGTTTGTCAAGCTGAGTTGCATCCTGAGAAACCAAATTAATAGTGACAGCTTTAGAGCTGTTTTGTTCTGAGAAAAACAGCTTTCCAAAAGAAGCAAATAAAACGGGAGGTAAAAAAATTTGGATAGATCTGTATTCCTCCCTGACATTCTACATACGTGTTGGGCACCCTTAACCAGTCATTTTAAATATTGCTTTATCAAACTTGGTCCTTTTCTAGTCTCTGGGAAAATATTATTTGGTGTCCTTATATTTTTCCAAAATATTTTTGGCCTTATGTAAGAACTTATTCAAATTTTAAGTACCTTGAGTGAAAAATCCTTCTGCTGAGACTTAATAGAAAGAACACTTAGAGTGCTTGAGAGAGAATCTGAGCCTCCTTAAGAAGTATCCTCATCTTAGTTGTCAGATTTTGTATGTGCAATTGATTAACAGTACAGAAGACAGTGTGCATTCTAGGTATCCAGACAACATTTTTGGCAGATAGCCATGCAACCTTTGTATGGGAATGACATGAACACATACGAATCATCTCTTATTCCTGTCTTTTAGAAATAAGAAGTTACCTATAAAAATTCAAAAGCTTCTTTGGATCTGAGCAAATATTTGGTTTCCTAATTTGTTTTCCACAGACACTTGGAAAACCAATCAAATATAACCTCAAAACCTCCATACTTGTTGTCTTTAAAAATGTAATATTGTAACATAATGACAAATAATCCATCCTTTATATGTCTTGTGCAAAACAAATAGGACATGCAGAGTTATTTCTCTTAGATATCTGGCAAGGCACATGACTGATTGTTAGAAATTTTGACTTGGTTAAAACAAAATTTAGCTCATGTTAAAGCATTAAAGTAATGCTGATGACGTCAAAGCAAATTCTCTGATAAAGCTGTAAAATCACCCCAACACAAACATGTCTGAGACCTGCCATTAGGCTCTCATGCAGTCTGTTTCTCTGCAGCGAGCAAGTAGCTATAACCCTTCAGTGCTGCAACTGAATTTAGCAGAGACAATGGAGAATTGAAGTTACACACACTAAACGCACTAATTACTATACATAAAGCAATTTCAGTTTTAGATCACTTTTTGTATATTGCCACAGAAAGTAGCCTGTCGATTTGTTTGCCTGTCCACAAAGAAAGATTTCCACTGTTATTTTTAAAGTATAATCTGGGCAAGTGGTGTGGTAAAACACTTCTGTAAATCAAGTGAATATAGTTCATATACATATATTTCACTTCCTTCTGTAGGTTTCACCCATAATAGGTTTTGTCTGTCAGAGTTAGAGACTTGAAACAAAAATATGCTGTGTGAAATTTTCTCACCACTGTGTTTAGTTATATATTTGGCTATTAAAACCTCTTTCTAGCTGAATTTATTTCCTTAAGAAGCCAGAACTAAAAGGGTTATGGTTTGTTACTGCGGCAGTTATCAGCAGACAGCCATCTAACCTTTGGTACTTACAGATATTTTATGGCTCTTGATCATATTATCAAATTCTTCATTAATTTTTTTATATTTTTCTTCAGTGCGTGGGGTGAGAGCATAAGAGGAGTCAGGATCAGGGCTTTCACAAGCTTTGTTTTCTTTCTTGTGCAATGCCTGCCAGATTCAGAGAAATATCAGAAAGTAAAAAAAATGAAAAGGAGCTCAGAGTACTTACACATAATCTTTGCCTGCTGATCATTAGATCAATATCTTCATTAAGTTTTCTGTACTTGTCCTCAGACTCAGGGCTGTGACCTACTGAATCGTCTGCATCAGGATCTGGACTGTCACAGCCATTAAGTCCTTTCTTTCTTAATGTCTGAAATATATAATTTGGGAAGTTCAATCCTTGACAAGGACTGCAAGAAAGACTCAGCAGTGTTAAAGAAAGACAAACTGCTCATCACAGAAAAGTGTTAACATATGGTTTAAGGAAAGAAAGTGACTAATGACCCACCACACTGATGTGTAGCTTCCAATAATGAGTGAGGACCATACAAGACCTCTTCTGAAGCTGGTACCAATCAATAAAGAATGAATCTGGCAACTAGCAAAAAGTTGTGCCTATGCTAGCATCTCCCCTGCCTCGTGATTCCCATATCCCACAGCATTAAGGGTTTAAGCTAAACACAGCATGCAATTTATTTTAACATAAACCAAACTTAACATATTTATCTATACTGTTTACTGTGGAATACACTGATGTTCTTATTTGCTTTTAAGGAAGATGCAGGAGGAGCAAATGGAAAAAGAATTCAACCTGCAACAAATTTAGGAGTCCATTTCTTCACAGAGGAAGAATAATTACCCAAATAGAATTCAAGGACTTTACCTAAGTCTATGCTTGTTATAGGACAAGAGGGAGGGCAGAGTTGATGATATGGCTATGAAATTACAATTAAGAGCTTCTAGACATGATGTTTACTTTTTACTGACTACAGTTAAGAGTGTTACAAATGCACAGGGCTGAAGCTTAATGCACAGGAAAAATCATTGCTAAAACAGATGCTTAGTGAATAGTCAAAATGAAAGAATTTCGGGTTCAGCTACTCAAATACACACAACCATGATTATCATCACTAAGATAGGAGAGTTGAAAAATCTTAAAACCAGAATTGAATCAGTAGCTTACAATTCAGAACTGGCTTCAGAAAGGTTTTAACTGATCTGCCTTTACAGAGCACCAAAGAACAGCCATAGGCTGTATTAAGGTAAAAGAATATGAGAAGAAAGTGTAGAATCCTCAAGTACAAGCAGTAATACATAAAGCAAATATATTCACAATTTCTCATATTTAGCTTCCAGGATGAGTCACAAAAAAACTCTTCAAAGTCTTGGCTATGTGTACTTCGCTGTATACAAACTTTTAAAGTTAGCTTGCAGTCCATTCTGTGTTGAACCCTGGCTAAGCAATCTCAATTACAATGAAAATATCACATATTTTGTCCATTAGTAAGTGGCTAAAGTGTACTGTCTGTCAGTGTGGGATACTCTGGTATCGTTTTGCCTTCTCAGAATGGTTGTGCTTTTGTTCCTTCAGGAATAGTACCTTTCATAATTATTTTTTTATGATCATGGTCAGCTTACTACTGTTACTATCCTTAAATATTATAATGTCATGCCTTGTTCTCATACTGTGGAAAAACCCCTGAACCTTCCATTTTCATCAACTAAACAAAGTGATGGTGATCTGCTGTACAAGATCTGAGCCTTCTAATCTCCCATGCAGACCTCTGAAACAGATTTAGGCATTTGTGAAAGGCTGGCTCAATGTAGATCTTTCTTTTCAAACCTCATATCTACAAAGACTTCAAGTCAAATCCATGAGCTACTTCCTTAACACCAACAAAATTATAATCCATTGGAATAAAAACTTGAGATGCTAAAACAACCTGAATGATTCCCTACACCTCTTTCCACTCTCCTCACTCTTTTATCTTTTAAATGTTAAATGTTCAGTTAGCAAAATAGACATAATCATACATAATATCTACTGCTAGCAGCTTGAAACAACTCAATTAGCAAGAGGGTTTTGCAATCAGCTGCTGTTTAATGGCTTTAATAGACACAACAAGATATAGTATAAGCAAAATGTCTCACTGCAATCTCAACTAACATTCTTCTCTTCACATAAGGACAAAACAGTTTTCCTCTGAATACATAAAATATTCTGTTTCAAGCTTAGGTCAAGCTGTCCAGACATGAAACCAAGATCAGCATACTTGGGACCATTTCTAGAGCTCATATGATACATTGATGGAGTCCTGCTAATTCCTATGGAGTCCGTAAGGACTGATGTGGATGTGAGCGGAACTAAATGGCTTCCTCAACTTCAGGCTTTGAGATGACAGACAAAAAGTAATATGAAAAGAGAAGAACCAGAGGAATGCTTTGCAGGCTCTTTGAATCTTTTCCCCTCCCATCATTCACAAATCCTTGTCTGCTGCTTTCTCAAGACTGTGTCTGTGAGAAGCAGATGCATCTTGCCCTCAGCATACTCACAATGCCCTAAAGTTCTGCAAATATTTACTTAGTACTCAGTTGCTACTGTGGTTTGTAGAGGTTTGGGGATGCACTGCACCTTTCAGATGCTCAGAACAGGAAAGACAATGTGAGCCAATATATGTCTTGCAACAGTCTCCAAACAGACTGGATTCCTTGCCATCGTAGAAGTATTTTTACTAGATATTTATTTTTACATTATTTTCATACCTTTAGAAAGGAGGTTGTTTGCCACACCAGGCAGAGAAAAAGCAATCTCTCTTTTCACTAGAAAAGCCAAGGATGAAATGTAAGAAATTGTGTCAATATTCTACCCAAAATTAACTTTTGCTCCAAAGAGAAGAGGCAAACCTTTGCCTTGCACAAAACTATCAGTCTAGTGTTTTTGGCTGGTACCTTGACTGATGGTGCAAATCAAGCTCAGTAATGCAGACCACTTGCTTGCTCATCACACCTCAAAAAAAATTCAAATCAAATCAAACAAACACAGACACAAACCCTTAACCCCCATCTAGAAAACACTACAGAAATCCCAAACAAAAAAAGAATGTATTTCAATGAGATGGGTTAAGGCTAGGCAACAGGAATTTCCACACATTATTTCCACTAAGAGGCACAGCCCCTAGCTTTGTGAGTGCTGGAACTAATGCCTAGTTCCCTGTGAATTTCATTTGGGGTAAAGTGCAATATGCAGAGACGATCTCCTGTGGAAGGGTCTCTGCGGATTCCTCTTCTCAGTACCCATCCCTCTGCTGACCCTTTGCTGCTTCTCTTTGTCACAACTCAGGCTGAAATGCTGCCTTCAGCTGGGAGCGTTTCTGGGAGTAATTTCTGGTTCTCTTTTCTTGCACAAGAACATGAAATTTCCCTGAAACTTGTTGGAATTTCACTGTCTTGGAGAACCCTCCCTTTGTACTAGATTTGCTTGGCAATGAGTAAAAAATGAAATTGTAAGGGAAAAGACAGAAGAACAGACGGACAGATTACACAGGGACAGGAACACACATGTTCACATCAAAGTCTTCCTCTGGAGAGAAGAGCAGGCTGGAAGTGACATGATCAAACTCTGCACTAAGGTAAGAAGTTGTATCAAGGACAGAAATAATGACCCTGAACATATGAGGATTATCTCTGGCTCCTCAACATGCAGGCTACAGTTTTCCCTATCTTATTATCTTGTTTGTTATTTTACTTTCCTCCATGTCATTAACTACCACATTAAACCTCTCTTCTTTTTTTTTTTTCCTTCTTTTTTTTCCATTATTGGAAAACACAACACAAGTTTGTACAGCACAGGTAAAAGTGATGCAGACCACTGTCAAACTGATTAACCCTTTTTCACAAGCTCTCCGGACTTTGTTTCAAGATTTCCTCCTCTTCTCTATTTAGTGTCACCTCTTGAAAGAAGCAGCTGGTTTTGGAGTCTTTGACCCAGTCTTACAATAATTTTGAAATGATTTTTCTTATGATGTTGAGTTATCGTAGACTCTTACAAACCCTGGGACAGACCTATCACATCCTCCTGGAGATCAACTAGCTTCCAAAGATTTCATGACTATTCTGGGAATTTTTAAAAGAATAAAATAACACAAACGTATAGTGCATTGCACTCTAGAGCACCCTAAGCCAGATTTCAGTTATTTTAAAAGAAAATAAGCTATTTTTCAACTACGGAAGCTCCCCTTCTTCCAAGCAATTAAACAAGCAATTATATTGGACTCCAATAACCTGCAATTAGCCAAGGCCTATGAAACAAAATGGTTAAAGGAAAACAACCTTTGGCTGAAAAGTGCTGTGCCATGAATTAGCCTAAATCCTACTCTGTAGATCTCAGAGAAGTGCTAACTTAGTGACATGCTGACTGATGCAAAATGGAGTATAAACAACTATTTGCTTTCATTTCATGCAAAACTTATAATCATTTTGGAAGCTAAAAAGAAAATATGGCAGTAACACCCAGGTCTGATTTTATCAAGGCAATGAAAATCATTGTAATTTTGAAGACTTTTGAAGAGGAAAAGCTTTTAGTTTTCCTAATCTAGTCTCTGTTTCTGCAGTTTTACCCTCCAGATTTTTTTGGGTCTTTTTTAACATTTATTTAACAGAATGAGTGGAGAAGGTTAGAAATGATTTTATTTTTTTCCATCTCATAATTTAGTTTGTTCATCTTTCTTTTTAATTGGTTTATCTGCTATGGAAATGTAACAGCAGCTCTCTGACCACAGAGAGAAACACAACTTTCCCCGGCATCATTCTGGAAAAGTCTGTGAGAAGATCAGAGAAAAGAATGAGAAACAATTCTTGTCTTAACTTTTACTACACCTGGTATTGTAAACATGTAAAATATATTATAGAAATGTATTTACCAAAGAATAGTTTCTTAATTAACCAATAGTAATAGTATTTAAATTAGAGGATCTAGTAGGTCCAACTATGTAATAACTATCTAAAAAACCCAGTAAGTTTCTCAATAAATAATAATTAGCCTTTTATAAATACACAAAATCTATATAACTTATTATCCAGTGCTGGCCTGTTGCAACGACATGGAACTACTTCTCATAGCACTCCAGGGCTTGGAAATGCTCACAGTATAGGTACCAAATTAAAGATTACGTCAGGTTCCCAAAAGATTCAGACCAATCCAATATGTTCCTTTTTGATATCCTCTGCAAGAAAAACCTAACAAGGTTAGGTTAACCACTATCTTCATTTGTGTGATCTCACTGCATCTTCAAATTTTATAATGGAAAAATTCAGAATTAAATGTCTATTTCTAAAAATTCCCATATCTTTTATGTTGTCTAGAAACCATCA